TTCATGGGTGAGAATCCTTTTTCCCTTCTGAGACAGCTGCATGCAGTCTGTCATCAGCCAGCCCGGTGCCGTGTAAACCTCCCCATGATCAAAAAACCTGAAATTCCACCCCGTTGCCCCCCATGTTGATCAGGTGTGCTTTCCTGTTCCTTCCAGTATCATTCCCTGCTACCAAAGGGATTGAGAAAAACACTACCTGTGCCCCCAATCCTGCAACCAATCACCCCAGTGCCCTGAAACCCCTTTTGATGGCTTTTGGATTTCTCTACACAACCTTGTCACTGCCCACCTGCATGACCAGTAGCGGGTAATAATCCGAGGGCTGTACTAGACCAGGGAGTCTCCTGGTGGTGTCTCTAACCCAGGCCCCAGGGAGCCAGCAGACTTCCTGTGGGATGGGTCTGGTTGGCATACTGGGCCCTCTGTTCCTCTCAGAAGGGAACCGCCTATGTCAATGACCCTCCTTTCTTTACTGGAGGCAGTCGTAACACATGGGGCTGACTGACTTGTCCTGGGCAACTCCCTGGATTGACATTCCTCTGTATCCACAATTGCCTGGCGCTCGAGTTCCAGAGTCCCATGTCTGTTCTGCAAGGGCAGCTGGGAAGGGGAGGGAGGGCAGGAGGGGACGTGCCTACCTCCCCGAGCAGGGACCTGTTTCTATTCCACTCCCTCTCTTTGGTCCCTTCCATCTGCTTGGTGGCCAGAGGATATGGGATCCACCGCTGCTAGTGGGCCCTCCACCTGCTGCCTTTGCCTCAGGGATGGTAGGGTTTGGCACCACCAGTCCCTCTGCCCCTTGCACTGCCGGATACTGCTCAGCCTCTTCCGCTTCAGCTGGTCAGCTCTGCCGCCAGCTGAGCCGGCCATCCTCCCGGTCACCCCTCACACAGGGCTCTCTCGCCCGGCCTGTGCCGATGGCCGTGCCCTGTCTGCCTGCCCTGCTCCTGCGCTCCCGGGGGCTGCCCCTGAACTCCTGTCTCGCCGGTGCAGAGCCAGAGCCACCCCTCCTCAGAGGCTCACCCTCCCTGTCTCTCCCCTGTACTTACAGTGTTCCTTCACGGATTTTGCCGCGAAGCAATGGAGTCTCTGGAACTGCTTTCCGCAAACTATTGTGGCACCATCAGCTTTCCCCTAAAATTTCCTTCTGTGCAGTTCGACCTGTTTCTCCTAATTACCTGTCTCTAGTAATAGATACTCTTACATATATAATCCTCCCTCGCGTTAATGTTTAAATCCTTTCAAAAAGACCTCTCAGCATGGTGGGGCAACGACAACGCGCAGCTTGCGTAAACAAGTGGTAAACCTGTAACGCAGCAGGCGCGGATGTGGTGCGGAGGTGCCAGCGGCAGCGCCGCTGCCGCAGCAGGGTACCTTCCCAAACACCCAAGGCCCTAATGGGATGGTACAACGCACAGTGCCGCAGCATGACTGCTGCTGTACCAACAGCAGGTTGCATCGCTTTTCCCAGGGGAAGCCAACTTAAGCTGTTATCACATCTATCCAATAAAACTCCGTTAAGATGAAAAAGCACTTTATTTTCATCAGCTCTAAATCTGTGCATTTCTCCAATTTGTTTTTACTGTCTTCAACACGTCACCATCGTGACCTCCTCTCTCCCTACTCTTCTCTTGGTTCTCTGCAGTATTACAGCTGTGCTGCCCTAAGCAACGTGGCAGCCAACGCTCAGCACCATGAAGCCATGCTGAGACCTGGCAACAGTTTCCTGCTGCGGACACTCATCTCTCTCCTGTCCTCTTCTGTGGACAAGGTAAAGCAATAGCTTTTCTCTCTGTGTAAAAGCGTAGCATCAGAGTAGAGCTATAAACTTGGGCTTCCAGTTTCAGTCTTGCATAATTCTCCTCATTTACTGTACAGGTGCCTATGCAGCATCTTTCCCATGAGAAAAGACACATATATTAGAAGAGACATAGGTTCTACAAGGTCAATGTATGGAGAAAGGGAAGGGAAATCATTAAAGTTGTTCCACAGCCCTGGACACTTCCTTTAGACTAGAATGTCCTGTATTCTTCAAACTATGTGTGGGAACAGCTCTGCCCAGGCTCTCAACTGTCTTTGATCATTGTGTCTGTCACGAAAGGTATCTGCAGCATCTATTATGCTTTTGTTTTCTTTTTAATTTGTGGTATCCATAACTTTGGTTATATATCTGTAACAATTTTGCTTTGTTGGGAGCCACACCAAAGAAATTTCAATAGGCCACCGTTCAGGGTTTAAAGCATGGAACCTTAAATTCTGTGTAGCAGGGAGGCGAAAAAAAGGCAAAGACAAATTCACTCCCTTCATTTTCCTATAACTAATCTGACATTCCTAAAATAAACCAACATCTGAACCCCACAGGCTGTTTCTCATCAACAACAGCATGACTGACACTAGAAGTAGTTGAAAAAATTGTTCAAAACTTTGGAAAAAAAGAAAATCATGTCCCAAAATCTGTTCTCTGAAGATAATGTAATAGTTTGCTGATGCTGACCTGTTTGTTTTGCATCCAATAGGCAAGAACATGCATTACTGAAA